CTTCAATAACTGGCAGCCGGCTTTGGAAACTACAAAAGACTGTAATCAATGAATAATTTTATTTTCCTATCCACGTTTCAAGTGGACATCAGACTGAACAATAGTTGTAAGAGTTCAGATCGCAGCCTCTAAAATTACAAATGAAAATTAATGTCACTAAATTAATAACTTATCCTCTTTATAACATTGCGAATGAGGTCTACATGACATAAAATTTGGCGCGTGTTTGAATACATTTGTGTTATGGCAGAAACTATGACAGCATCTATGACAATATCAACCAACTCTCAATTGTTAGTTGAGCGCCTGAACAATGACATGAATCGTGACACCAGAGCAGATGTTTCACGACTTATAAAGGCTATTCATACATATTGCCATTCAATTATTATTCAACGTAACAATTTGCTACAAAAATAAATTCTCGTTATTGATTTCGCAGGTCCCGTCAAAACCAACATTATCAAGAAAATACGTTGTCAAATTCTTCTGATTAACAGTTGCGAAGTAAAATTCTCGGAGATAATTTTCTCCATCAGTTTCATACTTACAAAACCCACCAAGTAAAAAGGTGTGAGCTTTGAATTTGGCGTAATCACTTACCATTTACTCTAAAAATAGGCATATTGCTTACCAGGAAGATTGGCCTGCAAGGACACTTTGTGGCTCATTTTAGAAACATCCTGAAGATTCAGGCGCTTCCCATAAGATTGGTAAACGAAGTGGAGAGTTTTGGGTGCTGCTGTCCACGCAATCAGAAGAGGTCGCACTGTTTCAGAATACACCTCCGTTAACCTGCGTAACCAAGAATTATTGTCGTACTTCAGGGAATCGCACTCATGATTGTGATGTGCATTCCCACGAGCAACGGCAATCTTTAATAAACTTACAATAGATGAAGGCCGGACGTTGAGTATACATTGCACTCCTTCATGAACAATATAATAACACCATTCAAATTACCTCCTTCGTCTAATCGGCTGTAAGGATCCGCAAAGTGTTCTACGACCCTTTCTCCAACCGCCAAATTTAATATACGGCTTCTGACTCTAATTGAAATAAGAATCAGGAGCTGAATAATGAAAGTACGTCAGTTTTTCATAATTCCGGATGGCCCTATTTAAAGCTTCAAGCGAATAGAACGCTACCAGATACAATGTGTGTACCTGTGATACGCAGATGCATCCAGCTGACGAGTCCAAATAGGACGAAACTCGCGTCCTGGATTCCACTGCTAGCCATTATCCATCTTTGCATATCATGCTTATGAATTAAGGCTATATTGAGGCAATACGCTCAGTATGCACATATGCCAATAGGAAACTGATCAATTGCAGTCCTAAACATCAATGGGAAGATTCAAATAAACAATACCAAGTGAATTTATAACCTTAAGTTCTTTTTAAAATAACCATCTGATTATGAAATCAGTTTTTTCATCAAATGAGTAGAGAAGAAACTTGTCAAAGTTTATTAATTTTCAAGGGTGATTATTATCATCATCAGTTTTCTAATTTTTATTCTGTAGAAATATCATCCTAAAGGTTTGAATGATTTTCTGGTTATCGTTTTTAGCGAGTTAGTTTTCTACGGGATGGAGTCGCTAACCCCATGCCCAACCCTCCTCCTTTATGCGGACTTGGGACCGGCAGCAGCCCCCGGAGGGACTTCAGATGGAGTTTAGAATTATTATTATTATTATTGAATTATCAATAATTTGAATATAAATGTATTAATTTTGATGTTTTCTTTCTGAATCTTTATCATATCTCCAATATATAATTTTATAATAATGTTATCATTTAACAGAAGGGTTATTTGAATATTATAGTAATTTGAATAGTTGAAATCATGAGTCAATTGAAGCTAGACCATTATGGAAAACCTGGAAGCACTGTGGTGATCTAGCATCAATTGACTCATGATCTCAACTATTGAAATCACTAAAATCTCCACAAAATTCCTTCTGATAATAATCAACATAGTGACTGGCTTCAAGAGGTATTTCCTGGAAATCTAGTGAGAAGCAGTGACCAGTGGAGTTCAACTGGGTGTGTTGTGAGATAATAACTCACTGATGACAATGGTGGATGTGTCGTTTAATTTCATGGATTAGTTGAAGTTAGACAATTACACCGTTGGATATCGACCAGCTCAGTGGTCTAGAGGTGAAGCACAAGCACACGACACTGATAAGTCCCGTGTTCGAATCTCGCGAGGTGGGATCGTGGATGCGCATTGCTGAGGAGTCTCACAATAGGAAGAAATGGCTATCCAATGCTTTCAGGTTTTTCATGGTGCTCTATCTTCAATTGACTCATGAGCTCAACTATTAAAATTATCATCATTTAAAACATCATTTTTAATAGATCCATTTAAGAGTTATAGAAATAAAACTGTAAAACAATAATTCAAATGCACAGATTACGTAATAGAAGATAAATATCATTTTGATATGATGGAAAGAAAAGTCAATTTTCGATTGATTTACTCATTATAAGTTTTGTTCAAGATTAATTCCGTTTTGATTCAATGTAATGATTACTCAATGTAGTACTTGTTCTGTTTTTGCATATGACATTTTACTCTGTGTAATATACGATATTCTTGTATTTCATTGACATGAACTATGCTCAGTATGTGATTTTTTATAACTGTGAGCATTTTTCATATATGTGTGATTTCATCCTAATTATTAATCAAAATGGGTGTACAATCAATATTTAAGTCAGTGTATTTTCGACTAGTTGTCGTCGACGTCATAATCGTGTTTTAGGGTTAATAAATCTTCACTTATACCAGTCTTTGTGTTCTTACTTTTCCGTCGTGAGAATTGCAGTGGTTCCTTGTTTTTACAAGTATAAGTAGTAAACGATTCCGACAAAATAATCAGCGACGACCAGATATAACAAGTAGGATTCAAGTGACAAACCATATCACATTTATCTTTAAATTTTGCTCAATAATAAAAAAATAGTTTTTTTTAGATTCTAATTAATTCAGCCGTGTACTATTGAATGGACTATGTCGAAATATTAGGTGGTGTTTGGAGGTGGTCGACGTGAAACACTGAACCTAGGTTTCGTTCTATTTAACACTTGTCAGCAAGATGTGCCTGTAACCTTGAGGTAAGTGATGCTCTCTGGTGGACACAACATACAAGACATTGGTCACTAGCCGGTGATCAATCAAATTATAAGACATGTCATTCCTGAATGAGGTCACTTGAATCGTGAATAACTCAGTGGTAACGTTTTTGACTGTGAGTTGATTGACACGAGATCGGATCCACCATAGATCATCCATTTCCTCAAGATTATAGACACATTTTGATGACGAGCTTTAGACAGCAATAAACCTAGGTCCAGGATTTCTTGTCGACTGCTACCAACCATCACCTTACAGCTCAGAGAATACAACACCATTACAACATAACCAATGTAATCTTACTCAAGAATTATGTTAAAGAAACTGAAACACATTTCTTTGGCATTTATGTGACTCGTTAGTACCTTTGCAATAATCAGAAGTCTTGTTTTGAATTACTTAAGCTTGTGTTAGTATATATTCATAACATGATACAAGTGAATAAAGAATTTTTTTGATAAATCCTAATTAATATCTATGTGGTGTATGCTACTTTTACATGTCGAATTAAGTAGTATACAACATCAATCAAAAGTTGAATGACTGGCAGTACAAGATTAAAAAGCACGAATTGAAGAAAACATAAATGAAAATAGAAGAGAATTGTGAATTCAAATAATCATACAGAATGTAAAGTGTAAATCATAGAAATTTGTAAATGAAGTATTCGATGTATGTATTTTATGTTTTACCACCATATTGTATTATTATTATTATTATTATCATTACTATTATTATTATTATTATATAAACACATAAACAATGGTACAAGGAGGTACCAAAAAGATATGCTCCAAATAAATCATCCGATTTTTGTGAGAGCTGGAATAATGCTCGGGTTCCCAAACCGAAGCAGTTGGTTTTCATAGAGTGCCACACCCTGAGCCTTTGATTTAAATGTCTAATCCACAAGGCAGTCTAACAACGTAAGGAGATTCAATCCCATGGTAGCTGGTGACCAATAATAGATTCATACGCTATTTGTTTCCTTAACATCCTCGATCCTATGTATACCATTGGTTTCGAACCAGGGGTATTCCAACTCCCCTAGATGGACCCTTCATATCCATAATCATTTATTAAACAATAAATTAATTATCAACCACTTGTGTTTGGAACTAGAAAACAAGGCCTAGGACAGAGTGGGTTGGAGAATGCTGGTCGGCGGCCTATGCTCCATTAGGAGTAACAGGTGTAAGTAAGTAAGTAAGTAATTAACCCACTTGTGTTCTCATTTATTATATATTTTTTTACTAAAAGGAACTGATTTACTATTCTGTTTTTTTTTAATTTGTATAAATCATATGGTTCACACGTTAATTATTCGAACTGTGATTATGTATTATTTATTTTCCTATTTAGATCATTGAATAATCAATGACTTGTTCAATCATGTGTAAATTGGATCCACTATTATTATTACTATTACCATTATTATTATTATTATTATTATTATTATTATTATTATTATTATTATTAGTTTAATTAAAAATGTTTGAAATCTATGTTAAATTAGGGCAAATTATTATAATCAGTATTTGTATACAATTATAAATTATTTAATTAAATATTAACTTGAAATTCATTGATTATTGAAAGTATATATTAATAATAATAATAATAAATAAATAAATAAATAAATAACAAACTGAATTGAGCTTCTGAAAAGAGTATATAAAGTTCAATTCTATTCATTAACAATTCACTGTTCATAGTTGTTATGGTAGATACATGTATTAAGGTACAAATTTTAAAAAAAAGGGGGAAAGGGAATTAGTAAACATTTATTGATTAGTTTTCATTTATGATTCTTATGTTGATCGTTTTCTTTTTTTTCGGTTGTTGTTGAAAAGTTACTCTTGGTAACATTATGTCTACAAATCATCCCATATGAATGTCAAATTAATGTTGTTACTAAAGGTATGTATATTAGATATTTAATTTTTTATGTATTTTATTTGTAATTATTAATGATTAATTGAATTTTAAACATTGAATTATGGGTAGTTATTGTTAAGAATACTGTAGTTAGATAGTTGAGATCATGAGTCAATTGAAGCTAGACCATCATGGAAAACCTGTAAGCTCAATTTCGTGAATTGGTTTAAGTTAGACATTAACACTGTTGGATACTCGATCAGTAGTTTAAAGGTTAAGCGTTCGCACGCAAGAACGATAAGTCCATGCTTTAGGTCTCATGAGGTAGGATCGTGGATAGGCATTGCTAAGGAGTCTCACTACAGGATGAAACGGCTGTCCAGTGCTTTCAAGTTTTTCATGGTGGTCTAGCTTCGATTGACTCATGATCTCAACTATTAAAGTTATTATAATATCCACAAGAAACCTCTTCTGTTACTATTCGATATTATTATCGGTCATTTCTATAAATGATTAGTATATATTTTGTAATCATTAGAATAAAATGAACCATTATCATATTTTATACTGAAAGCTTACAAATTTATTTTGAAGATTAACACTTTTATAACAATAACAAAACATGAATTAAGTAGTTATCTGTTGCTTGTTATGACTGATAGACCATTAGATTGATTTCATTACCAAAATACAGGCTTTTCTTTAAATTACAGTATACTTTATTTCTACATAGTTATAGTACATCATGATATGATATAAACTATTTACCCTGATATTGTATTGATATAATCAGTAATAATTGTAATGATTTGTTACTATTCGATATGAAACTTTATCAATAATTGTCCACGGAACTCGATCATGTAGGGTAGGGGATAGTTATCCATTTCAGGCAATAGAAAGTGTTCGTTGAATATTGTAAGTTGAAGTTAGAAACTAACACCATTGGCTTTCATCTCGATGGCATAGAGTTTAAGCATTCTCACTTGAGACTGAGGGTCCTAGGTCCGATTTCCTATGGCGGCGGTGTGGATGCCCGTGCTAGGACGAAACACCTGTCCGGAGTCTTAATGATGGTTTAGTTAAGATCGATTTATGACTTAAAAACTATAAAAAAATACTTTTCTGCCTAAAGGAGTAATTTATCAAAATACACCTAATTTCATTGTTTTTTATTCATGTTTTGCTTTTCCATTTAGAAGTTGGTAACAGTGCTTTGTCCAATGAATCAACAAATACCTCATCAATTTCTAATCCCGTGAAATCAGTTTCACTTCATTTTTGTCGTTCAGCAAGAGGGATTAATCAGTCTGATCCGAACTCTGGTAAGTGATTGTTCTTTCATTAATAAATTCATTAGAAAAAGTAACGAATATATAAAATAAATATTGTAATTTATCTTTATATCTGACAGTATTGTCAAATAACAAATAATTGAATTCATGAGTCGATTTAAGCTAGACCACTATAAAAAACCTGGAGACATTGGATGGCCGTTTCATCCTAGTATGGGGCTCCTTAGAAGTGCACATCCACGATCCCACCTCGCGAGACTCAAACCCAGGACCTATCGGTTTCGCGTGCGAACGCCTAACCTTTACCACTTATCCGGCATCCAACGGTGTTAATGTCTAACTTAAACCAATTCACGAGATTGAGCTACCATCCAGTGCTTCCAGGTTTTCCATGATGGTCTAGCTTAAGTCGACTCATGAATTCAACTATTAAATTACTAAAATATCCACAAAACCCCTCTCTGAATAAAATATTTTTCATTCAAGGAAATTTATTAGTCAGATAGTAATAACATTTATTTGGAATCACCAAATATCAAGTCAAATAAAATATTACGGTCGACCATCCCGTCTACAGTTTGTAAACTAATAAATCAATAAGTAGGAAGGGATGGTCCCTATAAAAACAAATCGTTTTGTGTTAGTTTGAATACCCTCGATATACACGACGTGAATTCAACCTCATAGTTACTACATAGTTGACAATGATTGGTAATTTAAAGACAACTACTGACCTTGGTACTCGTTATGTAGAAATTAGCTTTGTTATACCCCTACACGATTATCTTCTAAGTTCTAAACAAATAAACTATTATCACCTGAGCGAGGTTTTGTGGATATTATGGTGATTTAATAGTTGAATTCATGAGTCAATTGGTGCTAGACAATCACAGAAGACCTTGAAGCACTGGACAGCCGTTTCGTCCAAGTATGGGACTCGTCAGTTATTATATCACTTATGTGTGTCCTTGAGTTTGTGTAAATAATAGTACTGTGTCTATGTGATTCATGTATCTCTTTTGTGCTTGTAAATGCTGAGTTATTTATCATTTACTGAGTTGACTATTTCTGCCACTTCATTTTACGTGCATTTCTTTTAGTCTCCTATTTTTCTCATGAATCATCGAATGTTTGAAATATGCATTCCACAAGTGATTTCTTATATGACTTTTCATATTTATGGTGTTATTAATGGGATTTGTGGATATACTTTATACGAAATACGTAGAATATATATTTTACTAACATCAATGTTACTCTATCGTTATGTAGACAACCATGAGGAATAAAGTCACATATTGACAATCAAATTGTAATATGACCACTTGTCAAAGTGAACCGATTTTGCGGTAATATTTATCTAATGGTAACTTGTTAAAAGCAATAGAAAGCAAGCTTTGGTTATAGACTTTGTGCTAGTTGAGACTTGAAATAAAGGCTTATATGCATTTTTTAAGAAACTGAAGTTCTCCAGGTATTACATCACCAACTGTAACGGTTGGTGATGGGGTTTTAAATTCTGCTAAAAGCATTTGTTCTCCTTGGAATTAAAGTCTAGCTAGATGATGAGGTTCAACTACAGTAAAACCTGGATCCAGGGTTTCCATTTAATAATTTATAACTAACTAACATAGTACTTGGTGTCTTGACTTTAGAAATTATCTAACAGTCAACGAATACAAGGTTACTCTAAGATAATTTGAAGAAACATCATTCTGCTCCATATATTTTCCTTGACTATTTCCAATGTAAACTATCAATTTTAAACTTCACACACAGAACTTAATTTTCAATTTATTCTGGAACTATGATTTTTCTTAAGGTAACTATTTACTATTATTGGTGAAAGATAATTAAGATCTTAATACTGAAAATGTTATGATCTATATCTTTTGGTCGACACAACTTGATAAGGTTTACCAATCAGAATCCTGTAATATTTTCTTATGGGATAAATTTACATTCTGACCATTGAAATAGAGTAGTACTCTTTAACCAGTTACACTTTCTGACCGTCAACAACTAACTTTGAGTTGAGTTTAATATGATCTTAACCCTTATTAGTTTAGGAAGGGAAACATAAATATTAGAAAATATATGAGTATCATGTACTCACAAGATGCATTTCGTGGAGTTCAAATGATAAGTCCTAACCAGTGGAGTTCAACTGCGTCAGTTGTGCGACCGTTATTCGCGCAACACAATGGTGTACGGTCTTGCAATATCATGGATTGGTTGAAATTAGACATTAACACCAGTTGTCTATAGGTTAAGCGTTCACGTGCGAGACCGAAGGTCCTGGGTTCGAGTCCCTTGTACAGGACTGTAGATGCGCACTGCTGAGGAGCTCCGTACTAGGACGAGACGATCGACCAGTGCTTCCAGGTTTTCCATGATGGTATAGCTTAAATCGACTCATGAATTCAACTATTAAATGAATATTTGTTTCTTTTTTTATCTGACTAGTACCTAAGAACACAAGTGATGTTAGATGTAATATTCCAATTGCACATTTAAGTCCAAAAGGTCATGAGCTTAAGTCTATATCCATTAATTTTGACGCTAAATGTTTACCGAAACCAAATCCATGTGAGTTAACTGAGTGTAAATTATATTAATTTATGCTATCGGAAACAAATTAATACATTAGTTATCGTTCTCATTAATTACAAATGATCTCTCCTGTTGAATTAAACGTAAATTTGAGATTCGATATTGTGTGGTTGTATATATTCAAAATAGTTAGAAATTAATTTAAAACATGTTTAAAAGTTATAATCTCAACTATACATAACCTTCACAGTGATTAGTAAGTAAATGCTATAAGATTTCACTATAGAATCCATTCAAGGATCCTATCTCAATAACCGAGTTATACACAGAATCTCATACAACAATGTGAGGGATCAGTTGAAAACCATTAATTCTTTGTCAGGGAACTAGAACATACAGGAACAGTATATTTAAGGTCATTTTCAGTGCCGTAATGGAGTGATTATAATCATTTACAAGTAGAGAAAAGAAAGCAGAAACGGAGAGCACATAGAAACAATAACGATAATTATTGTGATAGGTCTACCGTTATAGATGTACTAGGCTGTTTTATGATTTGCTGTTAGGGTTAAATATTATTCATATTAGTTTAGTTTACCAGAAACGATGTAAGTGTAAAATATCTGAGGGTATGAAATTTTAATGAGTGGCTCAGTAATAATAGCGACTAAACATATAATATTCCTATAATTTCACTAGTGGAAGTTGAAAGCGATTTCAGAGGACAAGTAAATAAAGATACAAAGGACAAGTGGGCTAAATTACTTCAGAGTCCCGAAAATTTACCAGTAAAATAATTCATATGGAGAGAATGTGTTGAATAAGACAGATTCCGATTAGTGAAAAAGGATACATGAATAAACAGATAAATGTTGGACCACCATTGAAAAGCTGGAAGCAACGAACGGCTGTCTCGACCTATTATGGGACTCCTCAGTAGTGCGCATCTACAATTCTGCACACCGGACTCGAACCCAGGATTTTCGGTCTCATGCACGAACGCTTGACCTCTAGACAACTGATCTGGCATCCAGTGCTGTTAATGTGGAACTTCAACAAATCCACGAAATAGCGCCACCATCCTGTTCTTCCAGCTTTTCAATGGTGGTCTAATATTCATCGATTCATGATCTCAATCAAGAACTTAACAGTCTCCACAACGACGACTAACATGACCACAACGCACAAACAATTAGAAAAATACAATTATACCCAAAACGGGATTAGGGAACGGAAAAGGGTATTTCAGTGAATCATACATCAAACGAAACATTATGGCTTATAGAATTAGCTAAAGGCGAAAATAAATGTTAGTGTTTTAGAAGCTTTGAATTAAGCAAAATAGTCCCTCCCCCCCCCAAATCTTCCGTTGTTTGTCATGGCTTCTATGTTCCTTTGTTCACAACCACTTTTTTTCTAGTTCACTTTTTATGATGATACTTTTTTTTCATAACAAAACGTAGTATTGCAAGGTGAAAATGTCATCAAAGTTGTCGGACATTCACTACAATCAAATGTAATCAATATGAGAAATGAAACAAAATATCATTCAGCAAACATTACACATACAAAATATGATCAACCTGTCAATATACAAGCAGGTTAGTTACATCACTGATAACATTTCCATTTATTTCATTTTGTTATATGCAAAAGTTATTGACAAGAAAATTGAATCATAATTGCATTGGTAATATTTTGATCCAAATTACGTACATGAATGCAATGATCATAATTGTTATGTTCTTAGCTATACGATTATCGCGAGAATTATGATTGACAATTTAGATATATAATGACTTATACGATCAAACTAATGACGCATACACTACTATGGACAGTTTAGAAATCCCATTTGATTCCATTTACGTCTTGCCCTGTCAGTTCAGTCCAGAACACCAATAACACCTCCTACTATATGAATCATTTATTTCAGATATACTTCGCTTATATACAAGCAAAATCACATCACAACACACCATACAATGAAAAATAACAATTGTACAAGATGTAGTCAAAAGTGGTTGTGATTGTGAGAAACTGTCATTGATACATGGAGAATATCTCGAGAATAGTGAGTCGTATGATAATAGTCAATAGATCAAATGAAAGCTTATAATGAATGGAATATGTGTATATACATATAATGAAGTCAGTTAATGGTGATACAAGAAGGATATACGTATAATATTAGTCCATATGTATATCCTAACGGTTACCATTCATTTATTCTTGTTCAGATATAACAATATTGTCTTTAAATGATTCAGTTCAATCAATTTTTCTGAGCAGTGTATCATGGAAAATACAAAATGTTGACGTAGACTTTATAGTGACTATAAGGAATAAATCTATCAAGATTCGACGATTATGCCTCATTGATAATTTTCGGCAGTTTTTCTTTACTACGTTTATGCTGTATTTTGGTTTTTGCTTGTATTACAGGTTCACAATTCGATTTCCCTGTGGAAGTAAATCCTAAATCAGTTTTAGACCTCTATTCTGATATGAAAAAGAAGCGACTTGCAAAGCGAATCGTAAAAAGAAAAAAAATAAGATATGGTATGTGTGAGAGCTTAATATTATGTCAAATATTTGCTTTTCCGGGAGGGGGATTTGCAGAGGGATCTAAGAATCTTCATAGTTTAAATCACAAGCTGATCTTCGCTAGACTACATTTTTAAGTCTGGAAACATTGAACGACCGTTCAAATGTAGTATGGGACTCACCAGTAGTTTGAACTTGTGATACTACCACAAGGAATCAAACCAAGGACTTTCAGTCTCGCTCTCAAACGCTTAATCTCTAGAGCACTGAGTTAGCATCTGAGGGCGTACATGTCTAAATTCCAGGTTTTTAGTGATGGTCTAGCTGAAATCAGTCAGTGATCTAAGCTATGAGAATATTTACTTGTTAGATAACATGAAGTTTATTTTATGTGGTATTTTTAAAAATCTGATCTTGAAAAATTGTCGGACAGTCACAACATAGAACCTGGAACGAATGTACGCCGGTTCAAGTTCCCATACCGCATTAGCATCTAGAAAGTAGATCGAAGAGAACTACTGAGTAGTGAGCTGTTCCTCTAGTTGGAAGACAAATGTCTCACCTACGCCACAAGTGACATAAGTTGGCGAAAGCCAATCGAGCCTTCTGAATTCGTGTCGAGATTTGTCGGACACCAGACCATCAGCTCTGATGAGACTCCCAATATAAGTGAAGTGGTCTATGAGCCCAATTATTTCACTCCCTATCAATAACTTAGTGTGATGACGCAAGCCAATCCTGAAGTAAAATTTTACATTTGGAATCGGAATGAATTCTGAACGTTTTTACGTTGTTACTTCACCACCAATGTGGTTTAACGCTGCCTTAAGATGAATGAATACAACCATAGTCGGATACCGAAAAGTATGTCTATGTCACAAAATCTGCTGAAGAGTGAATATTTAGTCTATACATTCATGTAAAATTCTGAAGCCAGCCTGGTTTCTTCAAGTTCGCTCTTCACAACCCGAATTTTGACGTAAAAGTATTATTGAGGTGAATATTCTAGACACCATGTAAGTTAAATTGAATCCTCAGTGATTATCATATGAGGATTTTTGTCCTTTGTTATAAACTGGGATTACGTCCAGTTCATTGATTTTGGCTAAGATTTCAGTTAATCTAATTTCGAAAACAGGATAAACATCCTTAAAAACCTCAGGTGTTAGTTCATCACTCCCTGATGCTCTTCCTTGTCTTAGATTACTTATAGCCTTCTAAACCTCACTAAGAGTTGGAGGACTGACATCTGTTTGCTATTCAGATTGCTTTGAGTTAGCGCGCATGGCTGGAAACAGGTTTAACTGTTCCCCAAAGTGTCCCGTCTATCGGTTTAATCTCCTGGATTGAGAGTGAATAATGACCTCATCTTTTTCTAAGATAGTTTCATTAACAGAGGGATTTTTTAAACCATTTTTCTTGATAAGTCTGAACAGTCATCTACTATTAACCATCGCTGCTGTATTTTCCATCTCTTCTGCTTTCACAACCTACCGCTGCTCACGATCAATACGTAGGCCTTCTGCTAATCTACATTTAAGCTGCCTCCGCTTCTCATCGTGTTCGGAGCCAGGCGGGATGAGATTCCGAGCATCACTCATTTCAGTGGATTTCAATAGAACCTACTGATTTGTTCCAACCTTTTAGTTTAAGTTAATAGTATATATCATTGCTGTTTCTAAAGCTTTTTGGATATCATACCAATTTACCTTAGGGTGGATATCATTTTCACGGTTGACTAGCTACTTCTTTAATTGTTCTTGAAATATATTTTTAGCTTTTTCTATAAAATTCATCCTTAACTTCGTCCAAGTTGCAATCAATGAGAGCGTAGGTAGAGACAAGGAAAACGCGACGGTGTGTGTTCCTATCTTATCGAGCTCTTACTGTCCCGTTTAGTTGAATAGTGCAAAAGTGACTGTCTATAGAAACCCAGTCTAAAATAGCTTGTTCTGTTGTAGAACCTAATGCTATACCTAAACTAGTGAGACCATGGAAAGCTGTAGTGGGGTCTCTGGATAGTCGACGGGTAAATCGTGAGGGTTCTTTATAGTGACAAGGTAAGGTTAAATGAATAACTGTACGTGGATGCTGTATACGCGTTTCGGGGTGCAGCATGTACTTATGGCGCAAGATTATACAGTTTTAGCTAAAGAAACCCGTTTTCCTATCGGAAATAAAGTATGAATATTAAAAGCTTCAACATATACTTCGGAGAGTAGCTTCAGAAAAACAGGAATGATATTTCGTGAACTTAAATCATTAGCATTGGTGGTTTATGGTGATAAACATATGTGCTAGGGAATAGTCATAGGGGATGGAAGAATTCTTAATAAGTGAGGGAGAGATTCGATCGTCAACAATATGATCTCTGGTGCTGACAGAAGTATGAGAGCGGTTTTCATTTACCGCTTGCCCATATTATGGAACATTAATTTTTCTTGAAGGACCTGAAAAAAAGTTGAATAAGTAGTGGTCTTAGCAACCTGGGGGTGTGGCAACAGAACCCAAAGGATGACTACTTGAGGCTGGTCGCGAATTGATTTCTAATGGGAAGTTTTTAGTGTGTGAGCTCCACACTTCAGTAACATATGAATACTAAACAACCGTTAACACTCTGAATACGGAACATTAAAATACAATAAAATGTGACAATTCTTTATTGTTTACCCCAAATATTAGAAACGGAATTATTTTGAACAAGCATACCTCAAATCATCCAACATAACTTTATTTTCGCAGTAATTATGACAATTCTATAAGCTTTTGTATTAGTTATATCCTAATTGAGTTTAGAAGTATAACCTACTGAATTTTAATTGTTTTGGCTCATTGGCCTTATGGCTGTTATAAGACCTTAACATTTTAAGCTATATAACTTCAATAGTTTCAGATGATGGTAAATGTTAAATCCATGAGACTATAATTTATGGATGACCTTTAAGAGTGACTTTGAGAATGTTCACCTACTAACTAAGACTAAATGAAGGTTACAAACCAGGGTGAAGAACTAGAATTATAAATTCACTCGGTATTGTTTACTCGAATCTTCCCATTGATGTTTAGGACTGCAACTGATCAATCTCTTTTTGGTATATGTGCGTACTGTGTGTATTGCTTCGATATTGTCTTCAGTCACAAGCATTATAACCAAAGATCGATAATGGCTAACAATGAAATGTAGGATGGGCGTTTCATCCTACTTGGAATTCATCAGCTAGATGTACCTGAACATCAACTTTGGGATATAGGTACATCTAGCTGACGAATCATTACAAAATAATCTATGTTAAATGGTTATAAAGGTAAAACATTCAGTTTGTTCCTATAATCATTAATTATGTTTTGATTACTCTGTTTTTTTATATATTGTAATGCATATTCTTATTATCTGTGTATTTTATATAATTCTTTTCAAATTTGTTAATTTGATACACTTTGTTTTACTGAATAATATAAAAGAAGAAAGTGAGAATAATTATATAATGAAGTCTGAACAGGTTACTAAGGGACGTATTAGACTCGTTTTGGGAAAAATACATTCAGATAAAGCATCTCCAGCAGAAGCTGGTAAGTTATATTTTTCATCATGGTTACTTCGTAAGTCTATTATTAATACTATTAACAATACTGTATTGATTCTAATAAATAAATTCATTTATCAATATTATTAGAGATCTATGATGATTAGAAGTATTTGAATGATTATCAGTCAGTCAGTCAGCTATCACCAACGTAGAGCTTAGCAAAGATATGTGTTGGCCCAAGTTGCTATATCACATTAACACAATTGAACGATGAACACCAAATTCATAGAAGTAGTTACTTCAATGGTATTAAGGATATTATACAGGAAGAAAGAATTAGAAAGAAAGGTATAAAGTAATTTTAATCTAACAGTTTAAGGGAAAACAAATAGCATTCTCCAACCCACAGTGCCTTGGGACTTGTTTCTCAGTTATGTCCCATTTTTGTTCATTTTTCTCATGTCTGTCTCCGTTTCTCGGCGTAATGTGTTCTTTGGTCTAACCAGAAAAAATTATTCAAACCATTTGAAAATGTATGTACGAAGGGATAATGGAACTCAAGAGTTAAAATGACATAAAGAATAAATGCATTCAGGCCATTTTAACCAATTTTGAGCCATGTCACTCAAAGTCTCTAATAATTGATTACCATTTCCCCGAACCGATAGTTTACATATAATAACATGCCTCAAATCTGTCAATGACTTCATGGATTAATGCTGAATCCTGAATTCGCTGTATCTAGCTTACTTCCAACCTACTATCATACCATCAAACATTGCCCGTTATAGTCGACTATGCTTAGACATAATTACACTTATTCCAATCAACTCAGTCGATGAAAATTAACAATCTCAATAATCCATTTCGCATCCTTGTCTAGTTATTTGCTTCTTATATAAACACTTATCACTCAATAGTTTTTACATGAGATAATTCTAGACTGTGTTCTCCAAGTATCGACTAGCGCTGATTGGACAAGAATTAACCAATCAACGTGCAGCACACACTAATCGTCTGTCCAGTTTACCCCATCTTTTAGTTATCAAACAGATATCATGCCTTCAATAAAAGTTCATCAATTATTTACTAAGTTCTATTTTTTAAATATAAAGGCTTATCCATTTACTGTGGTACCTAAATAAACAATATTCGAAGTAAAACATGAAGATATAACTCAGTAATCCTGACATTCTAATTATCTTATATTTGCAATTAATGTAGAGATATGCATATGAATTTTGTAATAATACTCCATATGATGTATTTTGTAAATTCAACAATACATTCTTAATTATATTTCTTTGTCAGCAAATAAGTCTTTGCAGACAACAAATGGATTGTTTTAATTATCTATCTATTTATCTATACATATATATAGTGGGATATGTTCAATTTCAATCCTAATCAACCAACAATAATGATAGAAAATTCATTACATTAACGTCATTTAATGTTAACTATTAATTGAATAAACATGCTTCATTAGTCTATATGAATTAATAGATTGATTTTAAATAAAAACCTATCTTTGCATACTTAATTCAAACAAAAAACTGATGAAATAAATAACTAAAAAACACTAAACAACTACTACTGAAAACCAGGTAAAATAAAAATTATAAAATCACTTGTTTTCTGATGATATTTTCTTAAGGATCAGTTTGTAGTGGACTCTTAACCTTTGATCTTCTAAGCTGAAACTCCCATATAATAATCATCATTCTAACAACTGTTATTGTATAAATCCCAATAGCATCTTCTATTAGGTGTCGTGAGTAACTTTATCCATCTACACGGTTGAACTCCATTAGTTCTTGTAGCAGATAATAAAATTACAAGCACAAAACGGATTTGAAATCATAAAATTGTGCCACAACAATTACGTATTGATCGGTATGAGCAGCTTAGCGTCCATATTGGTTCCTTTTCCTCCTAGCCCTGTCAGTTCAGTCCAGAACACCAATAACATCACCCACTATATAAATCATTTATTTCAGACATACTTCGTTTATATACAGGCAAAATCACATCACAACCATAGGGCGATATTTGAGGGTTGACATTAATTGCACAGTTATTGTGTTTCCCTACCACCCACTGATTAGAACTTATAGGGTGTGATAAAAAAAATTTAGGAATTGATGATTGGTAAACTTGTTTTTGCAAGTGTGTGTTCAAGTGATAATGAACAAACATGATGTCACCTATAATAATTTTTTTCTTCCACGTTTACCACAGAACGAATACCGTTAATGCTAAATGATTTTTCTCTTTTCAAACGAACACGTTTATTACTCCAATCATAATTACATTTCAATGATTAACAATGACAATCATTAGAAATTATGTCATTGTTATTACTTGCTAGAAATTATTTCAATCCATTTTAGTGGCCTGTGGATATGACTCCACTTAGATCGTTATGAACGTATATCAGGATAAAGTTTTTTTTCGATCAAATACATTTGAAATTGAAGTCCTAAGTTATCGTGACAATATTAATTATATGTATTATCGTATGTAAAGTGAATGCGATAGAACAAAGCAAAATGGCTGGTAAGCCAACTCTATTTCTAGCCAGGCGTTACGCAATATTTATGGATGGACTAATCAAGTGTAAGATAACAGGTCTCGGATGGCTGATGTCAGTTCGTGATGAAAACCCCAGATGTAATTCCTAACCCTAACCATCAAATGTAAAGACTGATAAGCGAATAATTGACAAGGTCAACATATGACTCAAGTAGAATAGATAGATTGGTTTGTCCAAAACCTAGAATAAGGATATATTATGGGCTTAAAATAATGACTGACACTACACCATATCATATTAAATATATTTGATGTCATTCCATTTATTATTCTTGTATTGTTTTTTTTTTACCTTAAACAAGATAATAAAAGAACTGTAGGGAATGTATAAATCACGCTAAGACATTACGACAGTTGACAATCAATAAATTAAGCAACTTCTACTCTGTCTCAAAAAAATAATAATTTTTCAGAAAGAAAAGAAAATGTGCTCTGTCATCAAGTCCTGTTTTTCAACTATTCGTTAAAGAATTTGTACTATATCGAATAGTGACAATGATACGTTTCTGACAGTAAATGAAGAAATGCACAAGATCATCAATCGATGAAAGTTAAACATTAATGCTATTGGATAATAACTTAGTGATTTATAGGTTAAACATTTATGCGCAAGATGGTCTAGCTTAGATTGATTCATGAATTGAACTATTAAAATACTATCATCTCTACAAATCCCGATATTGACAATATTTATACCCTGGATTTTTTTAGTTCTTACTTTGAATGAATCTTTTTTTTTTATTTTGCCACCTTTTGATTTGCAAACTTCATTGATCTAACCTAAAAAGTCACTTAGTGTATGATAGAATGTGCAGAAAATAGGATGATATTCATATTTACCCACAGAGTGAACTGCAACCTGAACACAGCACCTTGGACCACTCGGTCATCCTATGATAGAATGTGAGTGTTAATAAAATGGTTTAAAAAGAAGTTATTCACTATTTCATGGAATAGAATAGAATACGTGAAATTGTTACTGTTCTAATAACATTGTTAAATAACTGAATTGAAGGGTTTTACAAAATTAACTGTAAACAAACTTAATTGTAGAAGAGGTGCTATAAGTTGATATATTCTGAGATGTTAATGAACATATTGAATCTTCAAAATCTAAAGAGAGATTTATTGTACAAAAAATTAGACGTCATGTACAGAAAGAAGCAGAAGCAGCAAAGAATCTTATCCTATTCATCGCATGTCTGTAACTTATTTTTGTGTGAATATAAACATTGGTTAACGCTTGACTAAAGGGAGTTGGCAAATCCTGGACATGAGTTTTATGCCATTGGATACTTGTCACTAAGGTGTTTCTAGATTCATACAAAAATTGATACTTCTTTTTGAGTTTACTCTTTCCTAAACTATCAATGAATGCATGAATTCTACATATTCAAAATCTATCCTCGTATTTGACATATTTTATTCCGTTATTGACTAATGCGACCTAAGTCGATAATTATATACGAGAATACATAATCTAAATAGTTGAGATCATGAGTCAATTGAAGATAGACCACCATGGAAAACCTGGAAGCACTGGACGGCCGTTTCGTCCTATTGTGGGACTCCGCAGCAGTGCGCATCCACAACCCCACCTCGCAGGATTTGAACACAGAACCTACCAGTCTCACGTGCTAGTGCTTAACCTCTAGACCATTGAGCTGGCCGGCATCCAACGGTGTTAATGTCTAACTTCAACTAATCCATGAAATTGAGCAACACATCCACTAGTGATCATCAGTTATTGTATTATCGTATACTAGCAGATTTTACCCAGCAACAGATATTACATCGTAACACAACATTTTCGCGACAGTCTACACAATATCTAGCAGTTACTTAATTACCGCAGTTATAAGTAAATGGGGTTTTGTGAAGATTTTAGTAATTGTAATGCGTACTACTCATAGCTATTGATATCAGTAGCATTCACAACAATATTATGTATACAGAATTAAAATCCAAATAAAAAATGTAAATGGTTAATGTAAAATGTTCCATAAAATGTAATTTAAATAATTGTAAATTCATCAAAATATATACAAGTAAATAAGCATAAATTGTGTTGTTATTTGATTGGTTGATCAAGGTGTTTTCTTGTTGTTGTTTTTTTGCATTTAAAGGAACACGCAAAAGAAAACGTATTCGTAAATCAACATCCATGGAAAAAATAAAAGAACATTTACATAGACGAAGATGGAGAATTAGAAGACGACGAATAGGACCTCGTACGTCCAAAGATCATCTACTTTGGTAATTTATAAGGTTTCATTACTATTATTACTAGTGGTTTTATTCAATGGTGCAATATAGAATTCTCAGCGCAGAGTATTTCAACAAGTTTCCGTTTCTTATTTCTTGATTGATATTGACGATCAATATATTGAGTGATCGCCAATTAAATGTTAACATTTCATTCTTTCCAAGGAATATTGCCAGTCATTATGATATCTGTGATTGCATATTTTTGTAACTTGTAAGGTGAAAGGTCATAAATGTTTCACAAATAAACCTGAATAAGTTACAGGATTAACGGTCACAATGATCTGTTTCTAGTAGCAAGGGATCATCGAATCCTCCAGGCAGGAACCTAGGTATGTTAACAATAAAAGAGGAAAATAAATTAGTAAATCATAGTGTGATACTATCCTTAGTCCTTAAGAATAGATCAAGTTGCCTCTTAAAGGACAATAATCAATAGTTGAAATCATAAGCCAATTGAAGCTAGATCACCATGGAAAACCTGGAAGAACTGAATGGCCGTTTCGTAATAGTATGTGAATACTCAGCAGTGCTAATGCAAGAAACCACTCCCATATTGAAATAACAAAAAAATTTCTCAAAAAAACACATTTCATACAAAATAAATGACTGAATGAGAAAAACAAGAAACTAAACACTAAACATAAACAGAATAGACGAAAATATATATCAATGAATAGTAATTAAAAAAGAGATAATATAAGCCAAACAGAAGTTAACCGGTAAGAGACATAAAAAAATGCAAAGACAAAGGGAACGGAAGTGATTAGTGAATCGTTTGTTGGTTGATTAGGATTGAGTTTGCATATGAGACGAATTATATTGTGTTGATAGTCGATGGTGTGTTATGTGTCCGTAGGAGATGTGAACGAAGGAGTTTGTTGTCTGCAAAGATTTATTTGCTGACACAGAATCTATCACACAGACTGACACTGACTGACTTTCCCTCTTCTCTCTTACAGGCGAAACGACAACACCTGAGGACGAATATATGAACGTGACAGACAAGTCCGGAAAGGTGATTGCTCGGTACAGGCGAAGGAGGAGGCGACGAGAGGGAGACGGTCAGCCAGGTAAGTTGGAATGCATTCAGTCAACACATAGTAAGTGCACTAGGTCCGACAAATGTCAATGTGTCTATGATTGTACTCGATTTTAACGAAGTGCACTTACTTGATCATGTGATTTGTATCATTGATATTATTAGCAGTAATGGAAGCAATGTTATCAGTGGTAAACGTATTAGTATTAGTAACAATAGTACTTGTACTAGCAGCATTGTTGTGATAGTATTTGGTGTTGTTTTGGTTATGGTCGTGGAAGTAGTTAGTATTTCGTAGGATTCACTTTATTGAAGGTCGTGAATTTAGCATCTGATTTTGACTTTGTTAAAGTTGCTTCTAGTGATATTACTGTTGATGCTCCTGTCACTGACCATGATGAGTTTGAATTTGATTTTGTGTGTTGTGTTGAGTGAATAGTGGTGTTTGATTAGTTAGAGTGTTGTTGGAAATCGTTGTGCAAACAGTGAGATTGAGGTGAGTGGGATGTGGATGAACAGTGAGGTTGTGTTTGTGAATGACTATGTGATGGTGTGAAGTGGTGTGCATTTGCGTGACTTATGTTTGGTAAGGCTTCTTACGGAACTGCGTGTTCAAGGTGATCAGTATCTGCATGTGCATGCGTGTGTCCAAGTATGTATGGGGATGAGATCGAGAAAGAGGTAAGTATTGAGTCGTGTATGAGTTAAGAGTTGTGCTGTTTGTTTGCACGTGTTTCTGTGTGTGTCTGACTGAATGTATGACTGTTTGTCTGTCCGACTTTGTATCACGCACTACGACCGTGTGTTCAATGTCTTGATTATGCGATTGTGATTGACGAGTGTATCCGTGTGTGTTTGTTTGTGTGATTGTGTGAGTGGATGTTTGTGAGATTTTCTGTGTGTATTTGCGTGTGTTTGTGTGTGTGTGTGTGTTTGTGCATATGTTAATATGGTTTGTAGTTTGATGGTGCTGAGCGAACGGTATTGATAGTCTGTGCAAGTGATTGCATGTTTGTATGATTGGTTAGATGTTTACACTGTTGCATGTATGAGTGTGTTTGTATTGATGAGTCTGGATGAGTGGATGAGTTGGACTGTACAGAAGAGACAGTGATATTATGTACTTGATCGATTAGAAGGCGTATTAGATCGAGTTCGATTGAGTGAATCGTTTGTTGGTTGATTAGGATTGAGTTTGCATATGAGACGAATTATATTGTGTTGATAGTCGATGGTGTGTTATGTGTCCGTAGGAGATGTGAACGAAGGAGTTTGTTGTCTGCAAAGATTTATTTGCTGACACAGAATCTATCACACAGACTGACACTGACTGACTTTCCCTCTTCTCTCTTACAGGCGAAACGACAACACCTGAGGACGAATATATGAACGTGACAGACAAGTCCGGAAAGGTGATTGCTCGGTACAGGCGAAGGAGGAGGCGACGAGAGGGAGACGGTCAGCCAGGTAAGTTGGAATGCATTCAGTCAACACATAGTAAGTGCACTAGGTCCGACAAATGTCAATGTGTCTATGATTGTACTCGATTTTAACGAAGTGCACTTACTTGATCATGTGATTTGTATCATTGATATTATTAGCAGTAATGGAAGCAATGTTATCAGTGGTAAACGTATTAGTATTAGTAACAATAGTACTTGTACTAGCAGCATTGTTGTGATAGTATTTGGTGTTGTTTTGGTTATGGTCGTGGAAGTAGTTAGTATTTCGTAGGATTCACTTTATTGAAGGTCGTGAATTTAGCATCTGATTTTGACTTTGTTAAAGTTGCTTCTAGTGATATTACTGTTGATGCTCCTGTCACTGACCATGATGAGTTTGAATTTGATTTTGTGTGTTGTGTTGAGTGAATAGTGGTGTTTGATTAGTTAGAGTGTTGTTGGAAATCGTTGTGCAAACAGTGAGATTGAGGTGAGTGGGATGTGGATGAACAGTGAGGTTGTGTTTGTGAATGACTATGTGATGGTGTGAAGTGGTGTGCATTTGCGTGACTTATGTTTGGTAAGGCTTCTTACGGAACTGCGTGTTCAAGGTGATCAGTATCTGCATGTGCATGCGTGTGTCCAAGTATGTATGGGGATGAGATCGAGAAAGAGGTAAGTATTGAGTCGTGTATGAGTTAAGAGTTGTGCTGTTTGTTTGCACGTGTTTCTGTGTGTGTCTGACTGAATGTATGACTGTTTGTCTGTCCGACTTTGTATCACGCACTACGACCGTGTGTTCAATGTCTTGATTATGCGATTGTGATTGACGAGTGTATCCGTGTGTGTTTGTTTGTGTGATTGTGTGAGTGGATGTTTGTGAGATTTTCTGTGTGTATTTGCGTGTGTTTGTGTGTGTGTGTGTGTTTGTGCATATGTTAATATGGTTTGTAGTTTGATGGTGCTGAGCGAACGGTATTGATAGTCTGTGCAAGTGATTGCATGTTTGTATGATTGGTTAGATGTTTACACTGTTGCATGTATGAGTGTGTTTGTATTGATGAGTCTGGATGAGTGGATGAGTTGGACTGTACAGAAGAGACAGTGATATTATGTACTTGATCGATTAGAAGGCGTATTAGATCGAGTTCGATTGAGTGAATCGTTTGTTGGTTGATTAGGATTGAGTTTGCATATGAGACGAATTATATTGTGTTGATAGTCGATGGTGTGTTATGTGTCCGTAGGAGATGTGAACGAAGGAGTTTGTTGTCTGCAAAGATTTATTTGCTGACACAGAATCTATCACACAGACTGACACTGACTGACTTTCCCTCTTCTCTCTTACAGGCGAAACGACAACACCTGAGGACGAATATATGAACGTGACAGACAAGTCCGGAAAGGTGATTGCTCGGTACAGGCGAAGGAGGAGGCGACGAGAGGGAGACGGTCAGCCAGGTAAGTTGGAATGCATTCAGTCAACACATAGTAAGTGCACTAGGTCCGACAAATGTCAATGTGTCTATGATTGTACTCGATTTTAACGAAGTGCACTTACTTGATCATGTGATTTGTATCATTGATATTATTAGCAGTAATGGAAGCAATGTTATCAGTGGTAAACGTATTAGTATTAGTAACAATAGTACTTGTACTAGCAGCATTGTTGTGATAGTATTTGGTGTTGTTTTGGTTATGGTCGTGGAAGTAGTTAGTATTTCGTAGGATTCACTTTATTGAAGGTCGTGAATTTAGCATCTGATTTTGACTTTGTTAAAGTTGCTTCTAGTGATATTACTGTTGATGCTCCTGTCACTGACCATGATGAGTTTGAATTTGATTTTGTGTGTTGTGTTGAGTGAATAGTGGTGTTTGATTAGTTAGAGTGTTGTTGGAAATCGTTGTGCAAACAGTGAGATTGAGGTGAGTGGGATGTGGATGAACAGTGAGGTTGTGTTTGTGAATGACTATGTGATGGTGTGAAGTGGTGTGCATTTGCGTGACTTATGTTTGGTAAGGCTTCTTACGGAACTGCGTGTTCAAGGTGATCAGTATCTGCATGTGCATGCGTGTGTCCAAGTATGTATGGGGATGAGATCGAGAAAGAGGTAAGTATTGAGTCGTGTATGAGTTAAGAGTTGTGCTGTTTGTTTGCACGTGTTTCTGTGTGTGTCTGACTGAATGTATGACTGTTTGTCTGTCCGACTTTGTATCACGCACTACGACCGTGTGTTCAATGTCTTGATTATGCGATTGTGATTGACGAGTGTATCCGTGTGTGTTTGTTTGTGTGATTGTGTGAGTGGATGTTTGTGAGATTTTCTGTGTGTATTTGCGTGTGTTTGTGTGTGTGTGTGTGTTTGTGCATATGTTAATATGGTTTGTAGTTTGATGGTGCTGAGCGAACGGTATTGATAGTCTGTGCAAGTGATTGCATGTTTGTATGATTGGTTAGATGTTTACACTGTTGCATGTATGAGTGTGTTTGTATTGATGAGTCTGGATGAG